GTCTAATGATCTACTACGAAGTGCCTACTCAACTTAAAATTGTGGTATTTTAGAACTAACGGACACCGTCGATTGGAACTGGTCAGCTCCAGACTGTATCATTTTATTTTATTATCCGCAAGGTTATTTTCTTTTTCAGTCTTTCTGACTGGATTTAGGTGTTGCATTGTTCTCACATAATCGAACCAACAAAACTATGTAACTAGAGAATTGTATTGTAAACCTGATTGAAAAAGAGTAACCTATGGAGTTTCTTGCTCGTTCTTCTCCATAGGAATCTACGCCTTGGAATGAGCAACTAGCTTCACTTATAAATTTTTGTTGTTTGACGTTCAAAAGTGCCATCCTGGTCTAATTGAAATAAATGATTTTGACTTTGACTTGACTTTTGACTTTGAAATTATAGTTTAGACTAGACTTTTTGGTGTGCAAGCACCTGTCTACTCTACTCTCCCCAACTCCTCAATTAAATAAAAACTGATTGTGACTTTGAGAACTTATTATTCGCAAAAGATAACTATGTACAGTACTCTCTAGTCAAGACAGGGATAAATCTCACCCCACAAAACAATATTCATAAAAACATGTTACAGGTAATATTTCTAAGACAATACCGTCTCATTACATAATTTACGACGGAACCTTGGCATGATCTAACGTCTCCAAGTGCCTCGAAGTCCCCTCGAACTTGACTGCTTATCGACCTCGGTATGAATCAGGGCTGCGCTGAGTCACCGGTGTAAACCCACCTTACGTGTTGAAGGGTGATTGATTTATTGATTAAAATCAAGTGGGGAAACTGGCGATGTTGTTGGACTTCAATAGAAAGTAGCAAATATTTAGTTGGTGTAGATAAATATTAATCTGATTGTCTGTATCGTAATCGATGTGCAAGTACCTAATTAGGGTCAGATATTAAACATGGCGGAAACAAAAGAGGTAACAAGTTGCAAACTTAGTCATAATTATGGCCCTTCTTATGTAACCAATAATTCGATTTGAATTTGGACATATTTTGTTAAGTTTGAGTGAAATATCTACACATAGTACAGCCTAATCAACCAAAAGATAGCTTACTGAGACTGTCACTTAATCCAAAGTTGCAAATTTTAACATGTTTTGGACAAAATACTTCAATGATTTGCTTGTCACTTCTGTACTTGCCAAATCGCTAATATAAGCTTGCCAGTCTACCAAAACAGGTATTCAACACAAGTACTTCCAGTTTAGAAGGATGATGTCAACTTCAGAGCTTACGTACCACCTTAAAAGGATTTCGGGTTAGGATTTCAAATTGTGCGTCATTTGATGTTTGTTTACATACAAAGCATTACGCATACGAGGCTTTTTAAAGGAGTAATATCGAATGACTTCTCCCGTCCGGGCGAGGCGAGAGGGAGTGTCAGAATCTTACTGACTGAAAACCACCACGTTCCTACTCCTGCACTTCGAGCCGGAGCCCCGGTAACCTGTTACGTTTTCCACGACTCCGTGTCGACACAGGTTTAGGTGGAGTAATTAAATGCTATTCTATTTATTAATAACACACATCCGTCTGCTCGTTTGCCTTCTACTCCATAAAAACATAGTCTTAGTTGTGGGAATGAGAGGGGTATTTTAGGTATAAGGCCAATTAGTCCCGATAAAAAAAAAATACTGGTGACGAACTCTGAGTGACACAGAAATGAAAAGGTTAATAAAGTCACTCAAAATAAGTACTATTTAATTACCGAAACTCGTTTTTTACTTCACTTTTGCCTTTTAAAACACAAACAGCAACATGGTGAATCATTCAGTCGTTGATTCACTACAAAAAAACCTACCTACTATTAGGTACTCCAAAACTACATATAGGGACATAAAAGTAGGCCCTACAGTACGCGCATACGCAGCCGGGTTTTGTTCGAGAGTCGCTGGCGCATGACGGATGCGTGCTCGTTTCCCATGACTTTAAAAACATATGCACGATTTCTTTGTTTTCGCCTTATGGTGGCAGGAAGTTGGGGAGTACTTACAACCCTATTTTATTCAACGATTGTATTGATTTAGAAAGGGCTTCTTTGAGTAAGAAAATTTCACAAAATAAATATTCTGCGTGCATTAGTCTTTTTATGGCTCTTGTTAGGTAATAAACTTATCTGTTTTCATCTTTATCTTAAGCTCATAAGACGTTATATCTCACGTTTTACGTAAAAAAATGTATAAAACCTCTTTGAAAAGAGGAATACATTATAGTAGGAACGTATAAGAGTCCAGGAAAACTGGTATAAAAAGTAATAAGAGAAAATTACAGCTCATTACAATAAAGAGGTAGATTTGAAAGTGATGTTTGGCCATTTACGGCTAGTTAAGTACCGGCTAGGTAGTAGGTAATCGAGCAACTCAGGCCGCCATTTCTCTACAAGTAGCTTATGTTTTTACAGTAGAATCTGAGTTTCTAATAACGACAGTAAAGGAAATGTGGAAATAGGAAACTATCATGAATAATGCATTATGCACAAAATACATAAAGTATGAAGAAAGACTGAGAGATAATAATCTGTAATGCATTTATTTGGATAACAGAATGATCGGCCCACGTTTTTGACTTCGAAACGCTATTTTTTAAGAAAAGATGATAAGCTTGTCGTCCTTCAGTTAACCGAAGATCACTGTAGTACATGGAAAACAAAATTATCTACAATTTTAGACTCAATAATGCAGTTATTATGTCCCAAATCAGAACTCAAAGCTCAATAACTAGTGCCTATTTGGACAGTCATAGAGAGACAAGGATTAAAGCTGCTTCTTACTAATTCTCAGTCCAGTTAATGTGTCTAGCTAAAAAAGCTACCTGTAAAACATGTATCGAATGAGCTAACCAGTTACGTGTGTAACGAAAATATTTGCACAACAATGTACGGTTACGGTGACGTATCATTACACATTTTGGCAACTTTCTTGTTTATACTTCACTTTTATGTTCATTTTACGTAATTTACTTGCTTATTGTGTCACTTTAGTTTCAGTAATATTATCATTTTACGTCTGTTGTTTCTTGAAGGAGTAAGACAGGTCGCATTATATGTAACGGTATACATCTGATGAGAGGAAAATATTGCGAATTCAGACAAAATGACATGACAAAAAAAAAATCAAATGTAGGATTGAGATGATTTTAACTTTGGTTGAGCAGTAAACGCCTAATGACCGATTTTTGTTTTAAGGGGGGAAATAATCGAATGTCTTCTCTCGCCTGGGTTAAGCGGGAGGGAGTGTCAGACTCTTACTGACCTAAAACCACCCCGTTCCCGTTAGGTTTTCCGCGGCGCTGTATCGGCATCAGCCCTATCGGGCCCCATCCGTGGTGGTCTGATGGCTCTTTAAAGCGCGCGCGGAACGCGACCCTAATGACCAATATGATGATGAACAAAGAACAATTCAATCCAAAGCAATTCTAACCCTTGGATAATAAAAATTATGGAGACAAAAATATAATAATTTTAGAACAAAACTTCAAAACCACTGCATTATGAAGTACCCTTAAGTACATTTCGACTCTATAAACAAGATTTGTGACCCCAAAGTGACCTTTAAACGTACTTTGAAAGGATAACAACGTCACTCAAGAGTTAATTAGTAAGGCCATTAAATTAGTTAACTTTAACGATTAACTTAATTATTACGACACACGGTTAAGAGCTGAGGCCGTTAATTAATCCCAACCCTTCTATGCCAATTGGCAAAATGTCCTATTCTTCTAAAGGACGACAGGAACAGGAGTCTACTTACCCTAAGGGTGAATTATTACAATTGGATACCTACCATACTTGGCGGAGAGTATTGCTAATCGCCTATTTTTCTTAACCTTTCTATCAATCTGTGTAGATTCGATGATTTAATAGTTAACACATAGGCGTTTCTACCTCAAATAGGTATTATAAATGTGACATTTTCGAAGATACAGAGCCATGAAATCATCATCATATTGTTCAGTTGACATCTTTGAATTATTAGAAAATCTACGTCTACAAGCTCATCCATAATTTTATGCTCTAATAATTAATTTTCAGTATAATAGGCGATCACAATGACAAGACATTGGTCGTCTCATTTTAACGTTCGTGGGTATATCTGAATATTATTATGCAAACTTATCATGTCAAGACAGCTGTTTAAAAAAAGTACAGATAACTTTGTATCTATGCCTACGAAAAATAGCACTAAGAAGTTTATTTTATCTATGAACTTTCGTCATGCAAAAGATCATTAAACTAGAAGACATTATTTTGTACACTTTAAAATTTGTTCGTAGGTATCCCGATAAAATAATTATTACTATGATGATAGTGCTTCAGTGTAAATAGATAACCTGCGATAACAATGTCCTTATTGAGGGTAACAAGTTTCTTTTAATTATATATTTTATCGTCAACATACGATAGCGAATTTTAGGGCCTCAGTAACAGGGAAACCCCCTAATGAGGTCAAAATAGGCATCCCAAGGTTGTGGTCTTCAAATTTTGCTGGTAACAGAATTGGGACGCCCTGGCCTTTGTGGTTGGACGAATAATAGTAACCTCGTAGTCCGATAAGCGCGTAAGACAATGATGACACATCCATCAAATATGAATAGAAAGCCTGCGTTCATACATATTTAAATTACGTAATTATTTTGGTGCACAATACACGGAACTAATGTGGAATTAAATCAATGTAATCGTGAATACGGGTGTTTAGCGCCTAAATAAAAGTCGGAAAGAAAGGTCACCTAATTTTGAGTAGAGTTTACTTCATTTCGAGTGTCATAAAAAAAGTTTGGAATGTCCTTTAGTCACACACAACCTCATTCCATTCATTTTGTCACAATCATAGCATTTATGGCAAATCAATATTAACTATTTAAAGGCGTTCCATAATCAAAACGGACGTGTTACTGGCAGATTGATAATTATGTTTTTAATGCTAAACACAACAACTTTTGCCAAATAGAGAAATTATAAAAAATAAACTCGACTCACCCATAAATCCTATTAATGCTAGCGCACTCGTGGTTGCCACGTAAAAGGAAGAAATTCTCTGGGTACTTGATCTTGTAGGCGAGGAGTAAACATATCGTCTCCAGGGATTGCTTGCCACGGTCCACATAGTCTCCGAGGAACAAATAGTTGGACTCTGGAGGGAAGCCACCATATTCAAACAACCTCAGCAGGTCGTAGTACTGCCCGTGGATGTCACCTGTTGAAGAAAATTAAGAATTTGTTACTTTTCATACTGGATTGGCTCGTTTCTAGAGATAACACACTGAATCTTATAGGTGAATGAGATCACAGTTGTATATTTTATAGTAAAACATACAATAAACAGCTCAATAAAGGATTTTTTAAGCTATCAGTAAGATTTTAGAGTACAAAGAACATTTATGTGGTCAATGATTCAGCCTAAACAATACTTAACACGTTAAAAGCGATGGGAGTCACCGGTGACCGATGTTAGCAGAGCAGAGATTTGCCTTCAAGAGTTTTCTATTGGCAGTCAAAGCCTTAAGAAACTTCTAACTTTCAGTAGTTTAAAGATTTATTACTCTTAACACCGGAGAGAACAGGCAGTTCAAGAATAAGGTTAGCGAGGAACATTGAAGAATGACTCAGCAAGACTCATTGTAATACAATGAAAGTGCAATTATGTCGATTAACTACATATAAAGTTCGTAATTGGCATGATATCAGTAATTGCATCACTTACCATGTGCTCACGCACATTGGTTTTACTATCAGATAACAAAATCTGATAGCTATTAGATTAGTCATGAGTATGAGACACACTGTACTACTTTATTTTATTGAACAATATCTACATATTGTTCAATAAAATCATGCTAAAAAATAGCAAACAATACCTACGTATTGTTTGCTATTTTTTATTACTTTTGGAGTTAACATAGAATGATAGAACAAAGTTTTTCTAGGTATTATAATGTCATATATTCATATGTGACATAGATAACAAAATGACCTTGTTTCAATCTATAATGCATGAGATTTCTGGCGAAGGATTTGGTAAACTGTTAATTTTCGCGAACACTAAGAAGTTTGTCGATACTCTGACCCTCACACTCAGAAGAAATGGTTGGCCAGCAGATGGGATTCATGGCGATAAGACTCAGGCCCAAAGAGACAAAAAAAAGTATTATAATGGTGAAAACAACGACATATGGTGTAGGAAGCAATGCAATAATGATAAAATTCTGCAACTCCTAATGTGGTATGAGACACTCCCTTCCGCCTCACCCAGGCGGGAGCAGTCATTCGATGATTTTCCCCCCTTAAAAAAAAAAAAAAAAAATGTGGTATGAGAAAGTATAACTAATGTTAAATAATGCTTATTCATCACTTCTGTGTGAAACAAAACCTTGCAATAAAACAGTTTACAGGTGTATTTATTAACCATATACTCAAATAATGAAGCCAATAACTTTTAGTCACCTTATCAACACATTTGATGACAAATTTACATTTACGTTTTAATCAACGGCCAGTCTAAACATTGTCTAAAATCAACTCGTCACCAAGAAACTATGTAAGAAAGGGAAACAAGTGATTTCTTACAATTAATCATTTCTGATAAGATTGCCAATAATACTAAACTACTGATAACATTGTACTGTCTAAACTTTAGCAAGAAATTATTTGATTTTTGATAATACGAAATGTGTAAAGCAAATTGCTAGACACAAGGTTGCTTCTTGATTACTTCAAGGTTTATTTAAACCTTGGTTTTTATATTTCGGTAATAAAAGACATTTTAAGTTTGGTGAAGATAAAATGAACAACAATGCATGATATTTTGATTAAATATTGAGTGTCTTTAACTGAATAACTTTGCATTATGGATTATTTATTTATTGTCTGTGTATTATGCCTAGTGCATAGTGATAAGCTTAGTACCTATGCTATATGGGACTATTAAAATAACTGGATAAAGGGGGGAAAACCTACAATAAATCAAGTATTATTATAAAATTATAATAGTCTGTATTTTAAATTTATTAACTACTATGAGCTAACATTAATGAACATACATACATATCCTCATGCCTATCTTACTTTTTATGCATTCTCATCAGGTAAGGGTACTTTCAATTAACAAACAACAAGACTAGTTATCATGTTAAAAATATGTTGCTATAAGTTATTTTAGGTAAATAACATGGATTTTAATACCTGAAGAAATTAATACCTAGGCACAGGTTCACATTTATAAAATATAAGTATACCTAATAAGTTATTTTACCAGATAAAGTCTGACCACTAGTTTATGAAGATACAAGGCCCATAGTTATACACCAGGTGGCTTACTCTTGAATCCAATCCCGATCGATCGACATTAGTATTGCGAAATTTCGTACTCTTGAGTTGCAACACTAGCGCCCATTGCATCCGTATTGCGTGGATATTGAATGAACTAAGTGGTATTGAGTTTGGTTTTATAGTCCGTACTCTAAATGCTATATTAACAGCTGCGATTGTGGTTGCATAGTTTTGACATTGAATAATTATTGAGATTTTATTGTATTAATATTGCATTGACATTGAGATTGGTTTCAAGAGTAAGCACCCAGACGTAATTCAAGACTCTACCATACTTAATATTGTTAGATAATAACACCAGTTTCTATAGTGTTGTGTATACACAGTAGTATACAATAGGACAATACTAGCAAACTAATAGATAAAATAATAATGGAAAATATTATTTTGCCTTAGTAAAGGATGTCATAGAAGATACATAATTTTTATATTATTTTTGAATAACCTAGTAGTAAGCATGGGGTTTTGGCACATAAAATTGTGAGAATTTTGTAAAATTGAATATCAAGATGGGGTGATGATTTTGACAGTAAAATGAATGTTGGAACATTTAATAAAATTACATTACCTACAATGTAACATATGAAGATTTATGAATGAGTAATTTACATTTTAAATATTAGAAATACTTGTGCAATAACGGTAGCAATAATAAGGATAATATTATTGATAATAAGGATAGCACTAGGCCCTATGAGAACACCAAACCGACAATTTATTACATAGTTTCACAAACATCTAGAACCAATTGGTAATTTGATTATTACTTAATTTTTATTACAGTAATATCAAACTTATTGAAAGTGTGCACAATCATTATTATAATTGGTGTTTAATCAATGACAATAATAAATGTATGGATAGTGAAAAGAAAGTGAATCATGCATTTTTGATAATTACATTTACTTAAATGCACAAGTATATAAACAAAACAGTTTTATAAAAACAATCTGAATACCATAAAGTCTGTTTATATTATCTTCTTTTCTCTTGAAAATAATGTTATATGTTTGAATCTCCACTGTAGTACTTAGAGGTAGACATAACACCCATTTTACACCAGTTATCAAGTCTCATGGATTAGTTATACCCTTTTTTAACTACGGGGGCAAAACCTTTACAAGGAACAGTGCTTTTTTGGTATAAAAGTATACCTAATAGTACAAGGAAACTAAATATAACATGAATAAATTACAAATACAAGTAATACGTATTGAAATCATGTAAGGACCATAGTATTTGATGAGTTCATATATCGAATATCGTTTTACATCATTACTTCTATGATGATTATAAATAGAAAATAATAATTTGAGGATAATACACGATTTCCACTACAATAATCGTCAAAAACGGATTTGATGCAAAATTTTTACTCAAAAGTATAAATGAAATTCAAATAAGTTCCCAGTGGCGACGGTTACGGTCACAAACGCATCCAAGTTTTAAATCAAAGAAAGTTGTCAATAGTGGGTAATTAGCGAGCATTCAACAAAATACCTTCACGAAATATTTTTATAGCAATGTTTTAAGGGTTTAACAATGACATAAACGCTTAAAAATGCAGTTTCATCTTTTCGAAAGTGGAAGGTTGCATTCGAAAGTATGTGTATTGGTTAGAAATAGGCATACAAACTTGTACTTACCGCAAATTTTAAGCGGCGCTTCCAATTCGAGTAATATTGGTTGTGACAAGAATATTTCCCGCGATTTCAAGCATAGCCCTTTGATCTCTATTTCCGTTAACTGTACATTCATTCCAGGCTTTTCGCCCCGAACTGAAAACAAACGTAAACATATCACTAACACGTAAAAACCACAACTTATTCACACATTTATCACTTTTTAACACCAATTTTGTTATGTTTCACTGAGTTTAGGGCGGAACACTTGTAACTTTGTTTATTTCAAACCGTATCAACATTTACCTTTTAATAATTTTTTTATTACGTTATCGATGTTTAACTCATCTGTGTCTCTGTCTGCCATTTGATATAATTATTGTGCACGAAATATAGCTAAATAGAACAGGCAAAGAAAGGAAGATTATGAAGATATTTGCCGATTTGTGAAAGGTACAACCTATTTCAATTCTCGGCTAAAATGAATTTCAATGGCGGAGACATCACTCACACACACAAACAAGAGAAACACATCATCAGTGTTCCCAGCTTTCAAATTCATTTTACCTAAAAATGTGGTAAAATATAATTCAAAAGAAATGAACAAAATAGTAATTCAAATAATCAATGATTGTATAAGATAATATGGGGTAGTGGGATTTTATTAAAGCTAATAACAATAATTTAATTTTTAGACATTTCCTTGAGGGAATTAAGTTTAAAAAAGTTCAGTGATATTAAAATAATTTGCTTTTAACATTATTGCTGCTAACTGCAAAACACATTTTTCAAATATAACAATAAATTACTTATGGCCGGTTATAAACGGGTTCGAGTTATATGTAATATTTTTACTAATATAATGGCACTTTTTATAAACTTACAACACTGTAAATTTTGAATGTTGCCCTAAACAAAATTACAATGTTGCCATAATATAAAACATTACAAATGTTGCCTTTAAATGAAAAAAAAAACTACTATTTCCCCAAAATCATCGATAAAAAACTAGAAAAAAAATGTATTTGTATTTATTTCCTATTATTTATTGAGAATTGAGACAACAATCAATGAGCGCCTAGTTCCTATACACTTTTTGGCGTCTAGAGGAAAGGTAGATTTTGCATTTATTATTGTTTTTTTTTATTAAAACTTTGCCTCACACTAGGAGAGGAGTAAATCTCCTGTGTCGTTTACAAACATACAAATTCACATATACATGACACCCAAACCCGCGGCAGACTGCACGGCAGCCAGTTGCCTAGCCATCGCACTAACCGTGCAGTCGAAAGTTAGTCAGTTATAGTTATTTAACCAACGAAGTTGAAGAAAAGGCGGACAAAGTCGTCTCTTGAAAACTTAACTTTGGCACCTGGCTACTACAGACTTACACGCAGAATACATTCACACAAAGTACATCTGTTGCGTAACATGGCCAGTAATTGCACTTTATACATTGCGATATGTTCTAAGCACACGCGTAATACACCACTAACATTTTGGTGCTTCAACCATTTCTAAGTAACATTACGTGTCCGGTTTTTATTGAACGTCTTTGACGTCTTTGATGACTTTTTTGAACAATCATTTTGTGTATACCTTTTTCACTTATGGGCTCATACATACATACATACATACCTACCTACTAATAAATAATTTTATTAGAGTAGATTCCTGGTTTTCTCACAATTGAAAATAAAACCAGAATTTGAATGTTTAACCAGGTATATTTTATTTATCATTTTTTACAATAAATTGACGAAAAATTCTGAATAAATTAAAAATATAATGTGTGCCAAAAAGTAATATCACAACCTTAACTTATAACGGCTTAGCTATGATATTATATCCGCTTTAAATAAATATGAAATAATATTGATTGAAACAAATTATTGACAAATAAATATTCAGTCTTTCTTTTCTCGGAACGGATGACGTTTTCTGAAAATTAATAACAAGTTTTGTTATGAGACAATAATAAATTTATAGTAACAAAAAATACAAGGACAAAAGCTTGAAATATGATTTTTTTATCTTTATTTAAAAAGAAGGGCTTTTAGAAAATGTCAGCCCTATATATAAAAACAAATTATAGGTATCTAGAGTTTATACTTACGCTGGTATAGTAAGTGTATAGATCTCGAATTTCGTGTTTATATCTTCGAGATGGAATATAGATTCGACGTATTCCTTTGTGGCAGGTACCGCTGGCGTCTCGAACACCAGGTTCATTATGTAATCCTCCACGCAACTTGAAAAAAAAAGAAAATTCATAAGTATGATTTGAAAATTTAAGTTGAAGATAGGTAAGTTTATTAAAGGTATTGTAAATAAATTAATGGATTATACAATACTTAAATTTCAATACAGTATGGCCCTTGCCCTTTAATCAGTCTCCTTTATCGTGACTGTTTTACAGAAACTTGCATCAGCAGTGTTACCATAGTAAAAAAATAGTAGCGCGCCAAAATTAGTAAGTTATTAATTGAACGATATTCCAGTTGAATATTGAAAGACCACCAAGTGGCCAGAATGAAGATGAACAGTGTAAAATGTGGTACTTACTATGCACAAGGTTGGTAAGGTACAAGCTTTTCAATCCTGTTCGGTCGTATGATTTCAACGTATGGGTCAGCCACAAGTTTACTGGTGGGAGGTGCCTGTGGACCTTTGCGTCCTTTGGGCGTTGGGGGTGGAGGCTAAAAGAAAAAAAAATTTGGTACTATAAAATTAAATATACATAGACATCTTTTGCCATAAACACCTGTGTAAAAAGGCGAGGTCTTTGTCCAGCAAACAGTGAACGTCATCTGGCTGTTAATGATGAAGGGTATGCGATGTGAGTCTATCTATTGCTCAATACAGATATTTCCGAGTTTCAGATTAATAAAAACTGAGTTGAAGTTCGAACTCAAAATCTTGTATCTTGCTGTCACATTTAGTTACGAAATTGGGCTTTGTGAATGAAAACTGATTAATAAAAATTGACTTTTAAAATACCTACCTATGTGCACCTTCCAACTTATAATTAATTTTATACAGCAGTAGGTAAGTACCTGAATTTGCTGTTAAATATTGAAATCTGTAACAATCACAAACCTTAACAGCCCCGTAAGCAACTTGTATAAGACTTTTGACTTCCATCTCCAAGATCCCCAGGAACTTGGAGACGTTCCACTTGGTCACCTCAGTGTGGTTGCCCAGGAGTGACATTAATGGATTACAGTCACATTTCGCTAATCTGAAAGTTTAAAAACACATTTTCTGTGGTAAAACTGTTTCACCATTAAAATCTTTTCGGGTTTCTTAGCCTTTAAAGTCACCATTCAACCTACTTACTAGGCGCATGAAGCGTCTTCTTTTTTTTCTACCACACTTATCGGTTTTAGACAAACTAACGGTCGTAATTTGATTAACCGACTTCAAAAAAGGAGGAGGTTCTCAATTCGACCGTATATTTTTTTTTTTTTTTTTTTATTTATTTATTTAATGCGCTAACTACTACCATTACAGATACATTCCAATACGATAGTGTAGCCATCAGTCTTACCACATCTTTTAGTAATTACTTATTATCTAATTATAATTAAAATAAAAACTAACACTTATACATACCTATATACTAATACAATAAAGTTTCCTATACAAATTTAACTGTTTAACATTTCTAACTACTGAGTAACAGAATCATAAAAACCAAATTCTTATATATAACACTTAAAATTAAATACTCACAATGAATCATAAACGATATTTTACTTAACACCTATTCAGTATCTACTTACTAACATAAACTATTATTACAGTACAAAACAAAGAAATAACTTCGAGACTTTTTTGAGAGAGTAAACAATTTTGAGTTTGGTAATTCTATTGCAACGTATTATTATATGCACTTATATTAATTAATACTCTCACTAGATCACTCGTATTGCACGAAAATATGTCAATGCGGCCATGAACCTCATTTACCGTGCAAATGGCTCGTGTGAGCGGGGTCTTGGCCAGAAGATTGGTCCTGGCCACCGGTACAGCGAGCAGTGGCGGACGATGTCGCCTCCACACGTATCGGTCGGGCACACACAGCTGCAGGTGGCGCAGCACTCCCGGGTTATGTGCCACACCCGTAATAACTTCACCACGTAAGCAGCTAACGTAAATTCTCTGCGCACTCTCAGCTCACTATACCCCACCATGCCCAGTACAAACAATGTCGGGTACATTAAAGGGTAAAAAGGGTACACACCATACAGCTTGAAGTACAAGTGCCTTGTGAACTTGTTCTGGACTCTCTCTAACATGACACTGTACTTCGTTTCATGTGGATCCCAGATTACCGCACTATGTTCAAGGTGACTTCTGACTAAAGCATCATAAAGTACCTTTAGCGTTGATATCCTATTGAACCCCTGTGTCTGCCTCAGTACAAACCCCAAGTTCCTATACGCCTTTTTACACACCTTAATAATATGTCCCCGAAAGGTTAAGTCTGGTGTCATTATGACTCCGAGATCTCGAACCTGAGCAGCCCGCTTCATTGGTACAGACTCCACCGTGTACTCATATTGTATTGGTGCTTTTGCACGAGTAAATGTCATCATGGAGCATTTTTCCACATTAAAATGTAGTCTATTCTTCTGGCTCCAATCTACTACTCTTTGTATATCTTCTTGAAGACGTTCAGAATCTGATACATCTTTAATTTCCAGCAGCAACTTGAGGTCATCAGCAAACAACAAACAAAGTGCATGCTTGACTACCTCTGGCAAATCGTTGATCATTATAATGAATGCCAATGGCCCCAAGTTGCTACCCTGACTTACTCCAGACCTAGCGAAATATAGTTCAGACTCGGAACCCCTGTAGTCAACATACTGCTGCCTGTTCTTCATGTAACTGGCGAAGAAGTTTAACAGGTGTGGCGTAAACCCAATCTCCGCCAATTTACTGAGCAGTATGTCGTTATCAACCGTGTCGAATGCCTTTTTAAAATCGAAATAGGCGGCATCTACCTGCACCCCGGCGTCCACTGCCGGCACCACGCGCGCCATGAAGTTAAGTAGATTAGTGGCAGTACTGCGCCCCGGCCGAAACCCGTGCTGCGCATCCGCTAACCGCGCCTGCACCTGTCTTTGCACACTGGCTTGAATAGCAGACTCGAACACCTTTGCCGGGGTCGACAGCACCGCCACTGGTCTATAACCCTGGACATCCTGGCTTGGTTTGCCTTTAGGAACCGGAATGACCCGCGTAATTTTCCACCGAGCCGGAAACGTACCTTGTTTCAAGCACATATTAAATATATAATGTAGAGGATCCGCCAGCACCCTACCGCAGTCTCTAAACAGAAACGCAGGCACCCCGTCTGGGCCCGCTGACCGCTTTGGTTTGAGGTTAGTGATCGCGTTCTTAACATCTTGGAGATTAAGAACCCCGATATGTACACGTGCGCTGTTGGGCCGCGCCTCCCCCGCCGCTACCCGCACATCCAGCTGAGGTGGTTCCTTGTTGTAGACTGATTCAAAGAATCTAGCAAATTGTCTAGAACATTCATGATTTGTGAGGTACTGACCATCCTTCACTATACTTTGCCTATTTACTCTACTTCTCTTAGATTGAATATACTGCCAGAATGATTTTGGATCTTTTGCAAATTGATTTTGTATTTTATTTTTATGTTCATTATGTGCATGTTTTATAGCTTTTTTAATTCGGGCTCTGTACAATGAAAACTCGTAGTAATCACTATCGAGCTTCGTTTTCTTAAATTTTTTATGAAGTTTGGCTTTAATTTGTATGTCCTTAATAATTTCTGATGTATACCACTCAGGATATATGTATCGAGAATTTTTATTAAAATTGCTACAAAGATTCTTACGCGGTACACATTTATCTAATATATTATAAAGTTTATGATAAAACATATTCAACACCTCCTCCAAATCATGTTGTTCATAAATTTCCCCCCAATCAGTCGTAGTTAGTGTAGAATAAAGCAATTGATAATCAGCCTTATAAAAATTCCACCGTGGTCTAATACTACTCGCGCCGCTACAACTGTCCGCGATGGGGGTGAGCGGGGCGCGTGCGGGCGCGGGGAGCGCGGGGCCGAGGCGCACACACACCGCGAGCGGTGGGTGATATGCGTCGATAGGTACAAGAGGCTCATCCGCCACCGCGACTGTCACGGCTTCACTAAAACCTGCACTTAGAACCAAATCTAACTGCCGCCCTTGACAATTGGGTACAGTATTATTTTGAATGAAGTCGCAGTAAGACATAAAACATTCGTAATAATTACTAATATTAACAGTACATGAATACAAATTAAAATCACCAATTACAATTACTTGTTGGTACTTATCACATAATTTTTCTATTAATCTAAATAAAGTCATATAGTCATTCTCACAACTACCCGGAGGGATATAAATCACGGAACACAAAAACAAAAATCGGTTATTTAAATGAACCGTTGCACAAACCATTTCAAACACACACGCGTCTATCGATACGTCAGTCACATGTACTTGTCGCAGCTCGAGCCGGTGTGTGGCCACGAGAAGCGCGCCGCCTTGCTTTCGCCCGTCCGCTCGATCGCACCGAAGTATTTGATATCCCGGTGGAATAATTTCTGAATCACTTATGGACTCACTACAACCGGATTCAGTGATTGCATATAAGTCGGAATTTAATGACTCAATATTAACTCTGAATTCATCCAGCTTAGTGCGAAGCCCCCTCACGTTCTGATAAAAAATGTCAATATTATTCATTTGTGATATTTTTTGATGACTTTCGAAACCAAATCCACTCATTAAACTGCGCATTAGTAGGCCATAGATCCGATGATTCAATTTATTAAAGTAGCATTCAGGAACTCCAATCACAAATGATGAGTAATCTCGCTCGGTCTTATGTTTGATTTTGTCTACTTTGATGTGAATTTCAGACCCACAAACATTTTTCACATGGTCCGTTATCGCTTCAATCGTCGTATCTGTTATGCAACCGCCAAACATGCAAGTATTTTTTCCTCTCAGTTGCTGGATTCCCTTTAACTCTGCATTTGTGCCTACCCCCACATCTCTATGTTGTCGGTTCAATTTCCGGGTCCGAACTACCGTCGTCCAGCCAGAATCCTTATCATTCTGCTCACCTGACGGCCCAGTAGATTCCTTTTCGTTGCTAACACTTGTAATATCAACCGCTTTCACGGTAGACTTTGTGGCCCCACGTTTGTTTACCTTCAACGTTTTGGCGTAGGTATTAGACATTTTTGCAGAATTATTGGAATTGTTTTGTTGACTTACAACTGTCGCAAAAGTGGTACTGGGTGGAAATGTATCCTGTATCTCAATAACTGGTGGTTTATCCTGGGTTAACCTAGCGTCAACCTTTTCTTCGAGCACCCTCATTACTTTGATAACATTATCCAACTCATGTTTCGTTTGAGTAAATTGGTTCAATAACAATGTAATCGCATTTGCTTGGCTATCCATACGATTATCATTTCAGACCTAAATTGTCTCAATTCCGCTAGCAAAGCTGAGTCCGAGTCTATCATAGGAGTAACATGAACTTGACTACCGCGCAAAGTACTTATGCTATTCAACGGAGTAGTAGAAGACAGCTGGAAGTCAATTGAGCGAATAGGTGTTTCACTATTTCCTCTTTTTGGCCTAGCGCAAATACACTCTGGGCACATCCAACCTTTCTTAAATTCTTGGGTATAGGTCTTAAATACTTCGATGCTTATTTCAAGACAATCGAGATGATATTTCTTTCTACATTTACCGTTGGCACATTCCATGAAAGAGTTCTTTACTGTAGAGGTACAAGCACCACAATTGCTTGCCATATTTGCTAGGTAACTACGTTCGCAATAATTCAATTCTAGGAATAAGTAATATTTGAATTTAGTTCCAAGCTCTACTCACTGTTGAATTCCGTTTTAAGTGTGCGACAGAGACGAAATATTTCGTTTTCGCAGTCCGTCTCCTTTCCTCGAGGTGAAGAGGGGCTTACCTCAGCGCACTCGGTCTACGCGATCCTGCACTCGCGAACTTATTTTGTTTAGAACAGTTCACACAACTTTAGTTACTATAACACTTATTGCTAATGTACACAAAGCACCGCTAATTAGTTAGCGGCGCTACACATCGACACAACTATCATTTACACAATATACATATATGCTTTTTTATGTCAAAAATCAACCTTAACCAGCAGACTTTGGATTGAGATTCATTTTTGTTTGAGTTATTAATTTTGAATGCCTCGTTGGCCGAGTAGTTGCAAGTGCGACTGCCGGGCAAGAGGTCTCGGGTTCGATTCCCGGGTCAGGCAAAGTACTACAACAGTGTATTTTATAAATTCTCAGTAGGCAGTAGCACGAAGTCTGGAATTGTGCCCGGTATATGGGAATAGGCTCACCCCCTATTACATGTGACGCATAACATAAATACTTACACCCGTTTATCACTACATGTTATATAGTGAAAAACGGGTGTTTATCACTACATGTTATGTAGTGAAAAACGGGTGTTACATTGTACAGTGGCATAATGTACACCTCTGACTACCCCTTCGGGGATAAAAGGCGTGATGTTATATTATGTTATTAATTTCAGTCATAAATCTACTTCTCCATTCTTGTCTTTATCGAAGGTCGACACAAAAGATTCTTTCTTTATTGATACTCAGACCAACAATTTAATTAAAGGCTGAGTTATCAATTCATTTTCGTCTTACTTAACAAGTTCGTCGATTCCCTTCAGCACCTTGAGAGTGGTAGCATCAGCTTGATTATTAAGTTCTTGCTTCAACTGTGTACTGGCACGAAGTTCTTCCAATCGTTGCGTCATGTTCGCTATTCTTTTATCCTGTTGCTCCTCTCGAGCTTCATTTAAATCCCGCTGGTCAACTAGAATTTAAACCCAAGTTATATCAGAAATTTTTAAGAGTGGGAGAGACATGCTTCGGCACGAATGGGCCGGCTCGACCGGAGTGATACCACGACCTCATAGAAAACCGACGTGAAGCAACGCTTGCGTTGTGTTTCGTCGTGTGAGTGAGGTTACCGGAGGCCCAATTACCCTCCCCTTCCCCAATCTCCCTATCCCTGAATCCCCAACGATCCTCAAACTCCTAATCCCCAAAAGGCCGGTAACGCACTTGTAACGCCTCGGGTGTTCCGGGTGTCCATGGGCGACGCCGATTGCTTACCATCAGGTGATCCGTCTGCTCGTTTACCGGCTTATGCCATAAAAAAATACTGAGAAAATACGGTAATCTAATATAAATCAGGTTTTGATAAGCAAACGTAGGTAATGTATTAAAGAATTCATCAAAATCACTTGAAAGAAGTGAATAACAGCAGTAAAAGACCGGCATAAATGGCTTGATTTGAAGAAGACCTTCCCTCAGGTGTACAGGATGAAAAGGAAGTTAGAACTCACAGATTCTTTGCTTCATCACGTCCATTTCTCTCCTGAGAATGATAGACTCCTGCAACACTTGGCAAAGCAGTATGAAACAGGAGAAGTTCTCGATCTCACTGATTTGGAAGCGATTAATGATGAGTGGCACTCTCTCGGTACCAGCGTAGGCCTAGGAACAAACATTTTGTTATATTTTTATTTACAGAAGATCGTAGAAGCTATTGACATTTTTTTAGTGCAATTTACAGTACCATAACTTAACCCGTGTAGTGACGTGTCAGCAGACTAGTACAGATTAATTACCATCTCAGTTCTTCTTGCGAATTTAATAAGAACCGACCAAGGGACTATACATTTAATAGTAACTGAACAACAACGTTCTCTGATATACCAGAACTTTCTTCCAGCGATTTGCAACGCACTGGATATTATGGCAAACTCTTTCTTACAGAGAAGACCTAGTCCAATGGACTCCCAAAGACTGTTAATTTCTGTTGATGATGATGACTGGTGTTGATATACTCACAAATATTTCATCAAGCAAGGCATCATGTTTAGCAATATCCTGTTCACAAGCTTGTATCTCCTCCTGCCTTTTCATCTCCTCCTTCTCATCAGCCTCGCAAATCCTACGTGAACCTTTCACTCGCAGAAACTCTTCGAGCTTTGCGAGATGGTTCAGTTCACCTTCGAAAGCTTGCATCTCCTGTAAACAGCAGGAAATTAGTGATAGCGGACAGCAGACCATTTTATGAGTTAACCGCATACCGATAGATTCACATGTTCCATGAATAAGGGATTGCTATTTTTATTTTAATAACTGTGGCCAGCTAAGCTACTTACAGAAATATCCCTATTTAGTTGAAAGAGTCCTTTCCACTTGAGAGCTTCTAGTTTGCGACAGCATTCGTCTCTATCTGCGAATGCCACAGAGGCTATTTCAAATATATCCATCAGGTACAGCTTGCCTTTAACCAGCTTGCCAATAGTGCGGTTCCATTGGATGTTGAAGCCGTTTCTGTGTATTAAATCAAGAAAATTAACCATCATAAGTGTAATGTAACGCCACACGTTATTAACTTCTGCCAGCGATCTCCCCTCACGTTATTACTGAGATAAAAAGAAATATGTTTTGTGCTCTCTAGGTACTCTGACAGACTTCCAACTTGTGTATGAGTGTGGAAAAACGGCAAACCCATCCTTTTAAGTAGAAGAGGCTCACGAGGCCCATATTATTTAGTCCAGCAGTGGACTGTTGATGATGATGATAATGTCGTATGATAAATACGCTTACCCATTTTAATGTGAGATCAATAATTAAGGCTTTGACTGCCAAAGTGCCAATAGAAAACTGTTGGAGGTAAACCGTCGGTCACCGGTGACTCCCATGGCGTTTAATGCATTAATTTATGAACAAAAAATCAGTAGAGCTGTATACTTACCTTTCCACAAGAAGCCTGTGTATTTCTTCTCGCACTTTCCTGTTATCCGTATTGACAACACAGAACCTCTTCGTGGCGAGGTCAAGTCTGTTCTCCATACGTCGAAGACGATTGTTGGCATTCTCAATCATGCCTAGTTCCTGGGTTTGAATTTGATTATTATCAATGGTAGCACATTTTTAAAAATTTGCAACTACCAGACGCGGCATACTTCGTACGGCCTAAAAATTTTGTTTTTTAACTTTTTAACTTTCCCTGGACGTCCATGAACATTTGAAGATTACAAATAACCTAATCGGTTCAGCCGGTCTCGAGTTTTTGCTAGACTAACGAACGAAAATTCATTTTTATTTATATGATTGTGAACAAAAAATCATAGTTGGTGTCGATAAGCATTTTGAGAAGTTAGTTTTATGATTAATCACACCCTAGTAGTATTGGGTTGATTAGGTTCTTCTGGTGTTGGGCTATTCTGTAAGTTTCAATATCATTTGTTGTAAGAATAATCTCGACCAATGACGAGAGAAAGCGATCGAGCTCACTACGAAAGTTCGAATTGACAGTTACTGAATATCTTAGTTGAGCTTATTGAACTAGTTGGAGTTTGTGGTCAAAATATGCGCAGATAGATATCATCACTATGAGGCATTTAATAAAAAAAGAACATTATGAAATAAAATATTTTCATTTCAATAAAAAAAGACGTTTTTGTAATAGACATTCAATTTATTTTCCTTTGATACTCACATCAGCTTCAGTGGGTACTTTCTTGGAGAGTTCAATGACATTCTTCTGTGCTAGATAGTTGAGGCAGTCTAGTTCAGCTTGTTGCGCCCTCTCATCCCTGAGCACTGACTCCAACTGTTCATACTCCACTATAGACTTACGGGTACCGCTTTTGACGTTGGCGTCGCGGACTGCATGCTGTCCTTTTCTGGCAAGCTAGATGTAAGAGGGAGATAGATGTAGAATTTATCAGTGGTGGTAAGCAATTCGAGGAGACATTAGATTGTATTAATTCAATTTTTTTTTGAATTCAGATGGAATGGTTGACTTTCATGATGCAAGCCTAAGTAGATACGTAACGATAAGATAATAGTAACTAGAATATATATACACTCAGGGGCACATTTAACCGTCCACTCATATATTGAGCGATATCGTTTGTTTATTTTAACTTACGATTTGATTACTCGGCGTAACTTGATGGTGGGTATATCTGCATTAAATAAAACAATCCTACACTCGGTTTGTTTACTTTTGTGGTTCTAATTCAACAATAATCAGTTTAGTCGCATTTTGACATCCTGGCTATACAGTTTTGAGTGACGGATACATTTGTTTTACGACTTTCTCGTACCAGTTATTTGATTAAAAACAAGTTGTTAGGGTGCCGTGATTAAATTAAAACCAAAAAAAATGCCATTGGATGCGGCTAGTGCAGCTAGGGCTGTGGGACTTGCAGACGCTGGGTTCAGCCAGCGTAGAATTGGACGGATGCCTGGATATCCTCGAACCACTACCCAAGATCCCATCCGGCGTTACAGAGAGACTGGTTCCTATACCAGAAGGCCAGTACAAGGTCGTACACGGTGTACATCGGAGAGGGATGATCGATAAATCGTCTCGAATGTTCTGCGAAATCGGTTTACAACAGCTTCTGAGGCTCGTAGGCGATTGTTTGAAGTTCGTAATGTGAGTGTAAGTCTACGAACAATAAGAAGAAGGTTAGTAGAGCGGTACCTGAGAGCATTTCGACCAGCTCGAGTCCCAGAATTGACTGCAGCGCACAGAAGAGCGAGACTAAGATTTGCCCAAGAACATGCAAATTGGACTTCGGAACAATGAAAGATGGTTCTCTTTTCTGATGAGTCAAGAATCTCTCTACGAGATCCTGATGGACGCCAGCGCGTGTATAGATGCCGCGGAGAAAGGTTTGCTGAATGTGCTTTGGTCGGAACCGTAGGATACCAGGGAGGGTCGATAGTGGTATGGGGTGGCATATCTTACGACGCCCGTACAGAGCTGGTAATCTTTGAAAGAGGCAGTGTAAATGCTCGCAGGTACGTGACAGAAGTCCTAGAACCACAAGTGGTACCTGTTGCGCCATTCATAGGCAATGATATTTTTTAATGCACGACAATGCCGTGCACACACGTGAGATTTGTTACCGAGTTCTTGGATGCCGTCAATATTCAGCGATTACTTTGGCCAGCTCGAAGTCCGGACCTAAACCCAATAGAACATGAGTGGGACAGTCTCAAAAGACGAATCCGGGGTCGTAAACTAGCTCCCAGCACCTTCAGTGAGCTAAGAGCAGCAGCGATCGAGGAATGGGAAAACATCCCCCAAAGCGACATCCAAGACATAATGGATGGGCTTCCAAATCGGTTGCATCAAGTCATTAGGGCCAGGGGAGGGATACACATTATTAATTCGTAAATTTAGGGTACACTTTTCTTTTAAATCCATTTTTGCATTTTTTATTTTTTGTGCGAAAACTCCATTTTCACATTTATTCATTATTTTTTGTCTAAATAAACCATTTAACAACTTACACATGTTTCATTTATGTTCGTGTATATCTGTGTAACTTAATATCATAACATAATTTATTTCAATTCGACTCATTTTTAAGAGAACTGAAAAATTGTAGGTGGCCGGATAAATGTGCCCCTGAGTGTATAAAGGAAACGTTCGGAGATGTCATAGTAACTATTTTTATAATTCTTCCTCCATCGCAATGAAATTCAGTTGATCCTTCTCCTTAACATTTTGTTGTGTTTCAAATTCTTTCATTTAACTGGGACCCTAATCTGTCTCAAAGATGAAGAGAAACTAACATTGATGCATAACAGCGTCTCATGAAGTTCGTGCGCGAGGATGCTGAGCTGCTTCTCTTGAGGAGCGAGCTGCGGTATACCACCAGCTCTCTTCGCTACGGTGCATTGCGGCGCGAGCTTCAAGTACTGAAAGGAACAACGGATAACATTGGACAGATTAATTGGATCATAACATTGAACTCGTTTGTCGCTAGTAGGTACGTATACAATTGCCGAGCTACCGAGGCTTGGGATCAAGGTGTTATGGTCCTAGAGATATTTTATCTTTAGAATAGTTCTGGAATATAGTTTAGAATTATTCTATCTTCACATTCTTCGCCTATTTAATGAGACATGACTGCACTCTCGTATCCTAATTAAATATCCACCCCTGTTACAATATGACACCATAAGTAACTCGACAATAGTGGCTGCTTGACAAGAGTAGTTAAGCTATATGATTGTAGTGTGTGTGACACCTCGCCCTATAAGTAAGTAGCGTAAGATAGATATTAGACACTTAATTAAAGATATTCCTAACAACAACACGTCTCCCTCATTGCTCCACGTTGCATTATTACGAAAATGTCGTCGTTGCTCATCATATATGAGGGTTCGAAACCTACCAACAGCAAGTACCAATGTGACTTTTCCGAGTTAGGTATAATTATGTACTTTTTAAGATTATTTAGACATCACTGACCAACGGTAAAGGAAAAAATCGTGGAGAAACCTGGACTTTATAATTTATAATTAGGTATTATACGTTTGAAATCGCCAACCCACATGTGGTGAGCAAGTGTCAAACCTTATCCATGTAAGAAGAGGCCTTTGGTCAGCTGTGGCTACTTATAGGCTGTTGATGTGATAGTAAAAGAAGCAAAACTATACTTATCCTTTTAAACATAAGGGAAGGCATAATAGGGGGGGGAGGTACTTACAATTCTCACAGCATTACTGAGTTCTGCTTCAGGGTCCACTACTTTCTGTTCCACCTGGTTAGGCTTCTTTTCACCTGGAGGAGGCATTCCGGTAAATAGATCACAATATAGGACTTTACAACAAAAGGATAATAAACAAAATGTCTAGTAAACAAATATTTCTCCTCTACACAATGCAATGGACAAAGACGTTTACTCTCTTGCCATTTTTGACAGAATTTTTTGAAATAAGTTTTTGTTTCTTTTTCTTCATTCTTAGTGCAGAGGTTGAGAGAAGAATGATGGTACCTACTTATAACGTTTTAATTAATGAAAATTAATGCTAATGTTTTCTATATGATTACTAGCGGACCCGACAGACGTTGTCCTGCATATCCACTTGAATGTATAAACAAAAATTCAAAATAGTTCAGCCGTTTAGGATAAATAACCTAAACATCGACTGCAGCGCCATCTGCCGGGCTGATTTGTGAATCTAAACCATTCCCAGATCCCCTTGAACACACACAAAAAATTTCATCAAAATCGGTCCTGTCGTTTGAGAGAAGCTCAGTGACACACTCACAGAAGAATTATATATATAAAGATTTGGTAAGTAGTCACCAAGAGCTAAGTTAAGTTAGTTTAGGACTAGTTCGCATAGCCGACGCATTTTTTCATACTTGTGTTCACACCGCAAACTATGTGACAAGTTTGCTATGCGTCGACTATGTGTTAGCTTAGCTATTGGTCATCTGTGGTGGTCTGATGGCTCTTTGAGGCGCGCGCGGAACGCGACGCACCGTACGCTCGGGTATGTTTCTGGTCGGACGGGTCCTAGGAACTTCATCGTCGTCTCGACGCCGATGGTAACCCCTCCCGCCATTATTTGGGACCCACGGAGGTGGCGCGTTTTGGATGCTTTTAAATCATCGTCATTATCATGTCTGTCATAAGACGTCCACTGCTAAACATTAATTTCCCTCAAAGACTCCCAGAAAGGCCGTTTGGAAGCAACCTGGATCCAACGACTTTCTGTGACCATGATCAAGTCGTCTACCCACCTAGTGGATGGACAGTACCTTCTAAGTAGCCACATAAAAGGATCGTTTTTCTGGTCACCAGCGCTGGCATGATAGCGCAAATATAGCAAGAGGTTTTTGGGTTCAATCATTACTGACTGCAGCAGTCAAATATTGTACACCCAATGACATGTCCAGTAACACTAATTCCTCAATGGGCATAAAATTAGAGGCTCACACTAGCGACATCTGGTGACCAAAAATTTAGTAGCTCCTATTAATTTATGTAGAAAAAGTAAGTAGGTAAGGACCTCACAGAGTTTCAAATAAAAATGCTATCTCAGTTTAAACTCATTCTTTATTTATTAATTCAATAAACATAATTAATTATTTATAATGATAGGTATATCTAGTCACTATTAAGATCTTATAAATTACGATTATATAGTACTTAGAAAATTGTTTCTGTAAGTACAAATTGAACTGAACGATGGATTGGTTCATGACGTAAAAATATGTGTTAATTTACATAAACAATTCATTTGTATATATTACATTACAAGAATAAAACTGAATAATTCTTATAGGCTATACTTAAACAGGGAAAAAACAAACAAGTAGAAAAGTTGCCAAGTTCTATGTTTTGGTTGTTACCTACACATTTTATTTTATTTCTTGTAAAACAATTGATCATTTTTAAACGATAAAAATGAGATTGTTGTTTAAGAAAGTCAAATAAATTGCGTAAAATATTAGTTTGAAATGAAGATGATAGAAAGAGGAGTTCAATTTTAAAAGGGTTTTTTTATTAATTATGCAACGAACGTCTCTTTGTAATGTAATAATACCAAAGAATTCATAGAAAAATGGAATGACTAAGAAGTTATACTCGCCATAACAGTGTTTGTGCTAAATAGAAAATTAAATTAAAATACAGAAAATCATTGTTAAAATTAATAATGTTTTGCAAATTTTATTTCTTGTAAGTACAGCAAAAAATCTATAAAATCAATAAATTTAATTCAATAATTAGTTCAGTCTTAAAAATAAATTAAGTACCATAATATCTCCGAATAAGTGACAAATTTATTAAAGGCATTTTGAACCTTATTATAATAACATAAAGCACAAAGTTAAAATCGTGCAACTATATACATATAAATACATATTGCTGTTATTTAAATTACTTTTGCATTATTTCTATTGCATTGTTAAGTATTAACCGATAATTTTGTCATAGAATATAGAAAAATGGGAAAAATCATTCTTACGAAAGATTGAAGTTGGAGCGATGCTAGCGCCCCTAGGTATTCATGGTACTAAATAAAATAATATTTAGTAAGAAATGTATCTTTACCATTATTTTACAATCTAAAGACAAATAAATAACTCAAACAATGCTTTCAAACAATTCAATTACAATTTATTGTAATTATTTTATTCACATAATTTCATTGGTAATGTCATAAATCATTAAATTAATAAATTATATTTCATTGCACATTATAATTTGAATATAATCTGGATTAAGAACTGAACTGAGAAAACGTAATGTTTAAATTTAGAACTCATTATGTCAACAGATTTTTAAAGTATTATAAAATTACAATTGACTCAAAATTTTTAGTTATCTGTATGATTTCAAAATGAATACAAAGGTGAAACCGGTAGTAAAACATGAGCAATATATTACTTTAAAACTTGAGCATGTTTGTAAAAAAAGATAATTATATTAAATATATTATTTCTGTTTTGAATCTATTCTTATTGGTACTATCAGTATGGTAAGATTTTTCACACATTTATTTAATATTTTTAAATACTCAAATGCATTAAAGAGAGCTTTGAATCTTGGTATTATTTAGGTGAATATGCTCACGAGTTTCGAGTATAAAAAATAAAGAAAACTATTTTTAGACTTGGCGAGTTCACTGCCGTGCACCCTATTTTGAAATTAAATACCTTTTATATTTTCAAGCCAAGTTTTTTTTAAAAGTTTCAGTGTGAAAATCTACCAAGGTATATGTTAAGGCTGTATCGGTATTACATAATTATGTATATTTATTTTTAATAATAAATACAATTGACATTTTCTATAGATAAAGGCACTTTACAAGGCCAGGTACTTTTAAGGCACTGAACTTTATTTGAGTACCAACTACTTCTATTGCAAAACAATACATACATACATTATATTTAATTTAAATTATGTGATAGGTAGCTTCAAATATTTTACTAAAAATTCGTGAAATTTTTTCTACACACAAAAATTATTCTAAATATTCCACCAGATCATGATCAAATCGCGTTTTTTACGCTAGTTACTGGGTACTGTCGACAATGACCGGTGAAAGTGATACTGTCCGGCTACTTTACCCATACCGTCATACTTAGAAGTCCATTCATGATTTGACTACATTGAATACCAACCATAGAAATATTAAAAACTTTTTAATTACTTCAACGTTAACAGCACTGATGTATCATGTGAAAACCATCACAAAGAGTACATCTTGTACATTTGCCATCTTTCTAGTCGCTTAATTTTTTTATGGAATAAGCCGGTAAACGAGATGACAGATCATTTGATGGTAAGCAATCGGCGTCGCCCATGGACACCCGGAACACCAGAGGCTTTACAAGAGCGTTACTGGCCTTTTGGGGCTTAGGAATTTAAGGAATGCCGGAGATTGGGGAAGGAGAGGGGATAGTTGGGAATCCGTTAACCTCACTCTCGACGAAACACAATGCAAGCGGTGTTTCACGTCGGTCGTCGTTGAAGTATTTTGTTTAGTAGCTATTAGGGGGTATATAAGCGTTAATACAGTACCCAACTGTATAGACCATATTGGTCATAGACCAAAGAAGTAAGCCAGACATTATCAACACTAACCGGTCAATGTGACTCGAGACTTTAGTCAGTGGAGCCTACCAGCATTCAATAAACGTAATGTAAATAATATGGCTATTAATGTTCTTCATTATTTAGCAATCTATTTTACTAATAAACTAGAGAGCCTGTTTTACCACGTCGTAATATATTAACTAATTTTGATTTGATGTAAAGACTGAGTAATATAATTCTTTGCAAATCATTTTTGAAGGTAAAATTATTCTCGAAAGCAGTTATTTTAAGCGCGTTTTATAATTTACCCACAAATGCATAATTTTTATAGATTGGATTAAGTTTTTACTGAACTGCATAATACAAGTTGAGTACAATATAACATTATGTTTCAGGATGATAATTATTTTATTAATATAGGTAAAGCTAAATTAAGGCACAAGCATTAGATATTAAATATTAAATTGGGTGTGACCTTCTGTCCATCACGAACAAATTCAGTGTGAACCAATTTTAATGTAAATTGGGAATGTAATGCTTCACTGTCTATCACCAATTCTGTACTATCAATTAAGATTTTTTCTAATAGAAAAATCTAATTATAATGCTTTGTTCCTACATAAGGAATTTAATCCTTCTGTCTCTCAAGACCAATGATTCTTCAATGGTCCTTTTGGCAATCTTTTCCTTTTATAACAGCTTGATATTACTCAATCTTTAAAAAATGTATGACGAATGAAAACACTATCAAATTCGTAGTTACCGTGGTAAAAACAGGCGGTAAAACTAATTTTACACTTTAGGTGCACCAAACATCTCACTTAAAATCAAGATTTACGTATATAAGTACCAACTATACATACATAGTTAAGGTAATCTCAATTATTAAAACGTTATTTACAAATAAAGCAATGGATAGGTTAGGTTTTAAAATGGCTGACGTATTAAAGATGGCGGATTACATGACTTAAATCTACTAACGTTAGTTTACATTTTCGTTTCTAATCGAATCGTATTTATATTTCTATCGTTAGTCATCGTAAAACGGACAAAAGATGATAATTCTCTTGGATTTCTATCCGTTTAAACTTATCTGTTGTACTAAATCCGCCCTATCAAGTAATTAATTGCCAAATGCCAAAATTTACCAGCCATTTTACAGTGAAAAACTAAAAAGACACAATAAAACATTAAAAATTAAACGTAAACTAACTATAAACAATCTAACTACGACACTAACT